AATTTCCCCCCTTTTTTTTTTTTTTTTTTTGTCTTTTGTCTTTTTTCCGTGTCCGGCAACGGATCACAACCCTCAGTGTTGCCCCCGTACCGGACCGGGGACTGGCAACGGGATTGCAACCCTCGGTGTTGCTCCCGCGCCACGCTCAGCCAGTGAGCGGGAACCGGTCTGTATGTGGGATCCGAACCCTCGGGCGGGAGCGCCGCCGCGCTTCCCAAGCGGCGCACTTATCCAGTGTGCCACCGGGCCGGCCCCCACTTTTTAAAAAAGAAAACAATCTTTCTGAAGAGGAGATTTATTCACAGATTTTCATTCACAGATTTTTAAACTTCACCCAAGTTTGTTTGTTTTATATTTCTATTTCCCCTAAGTTTTGTTTTTATAAAATTGAACAAGAATAGTATTAGAGGAAAAAAAAATTTTTCCTCAGGCTAGCTTGATTTACATATTAAAATTTTTCTGACTTCATTTGTACATTTCTGCATGTACTTATTCTTTCAACAAATCCTTACTGAGCACGTACTGTGTGGCTTCCAGCGCTGGTGGAATAGCAGTGTATAAGATAGTTCATGTGATGGTTAATTTTAGGTGTCAGCTTGATTAGATTAAGGAATACCTAGAAACCTGGTAAAGCTTTTCAGGTGTGTCTGTGAGAATGTTTCCAGAAGAGATTAGCATATGAGCCTGAGTGGACTAGGTGGGAAGGATTCACCCTTGGTATGGATGGGCACCATCCAATTCCCCGGAGAGAATAAAAATTGATGAAAGGTGAATCTCCTTCTCATCTGCTGGAGCTGGGATATACTCTTTTCTCCTGTCGGTGGACATCCAAAATCAAGACTCTTCAATCTTGGGGTTCCAGGAGTTATACCAGCAGCACATCTGGCTCTCAGGCCTTTGGTCTTGGACTGAGAATCACACCACTGGCTTCCCCATTTCAGAGGCTTCCATACTTGAACTGAGCCATGGTACTGGACAAATGATAGGACATCATTTGCAGATGGCCTATCATGGGACTCCTCAGCCTTCACAACTGCTTGAGCCAATTCCCCTAATAAATCCCTTATTATGTATTTATATACATATCCTGTTGGTTCTGGCTCTCTGGAGAACCCTAACTAATACAGCATATACATATCAATTCATGCACAGTTTACTTTTTAGTGGAAGAATGCAAAAATAAATAATGTAATTTTAGACAGTTTCAAGAACTATGAGGATACAGAGCCCAGTAATGAGACAGAATAACTGAAGTGTAAAAGAGCTACCTTAGGAGAAGCCAAGTGCATCTCTGTGAGGAAGAGACAAATGAACATTTCTGAATCATGTTATGGAGTCAACCATGTGAAGACCTGGAAGATGGCAGTAAGTGCAAAGGTCCTAAGAAGGGCTTGGCCTGCTCAAAAAATGCACTAGGGGAGTGGGGGAGGGGGAGTGATGATCAATTATGATGTGAAACAGGCAGAGGCAGAAGTTAGTCATGGAGAACTTTGAAGGCCTGAAAGGGGGTTGGATATTTTTCTAAAGTTTAATGGGAAACCATTGGAAAATTTTGAGTAGGAAAGTGATATAATTTTACATTAAAGAAAAATCACTTTGCTCTGTGATTATTTAAAGAGTTGAAAAAGAGAGACAAATTAAGGCTATTACAGTAGTTCAGGGGAGAAAGAATGTTGGAGTAAATTTGACAGTGAGGGGAAAGGTAGAGAGAAGAGTATGGATTTATGATATATTTTGGAAAAAAGGTAGATAGAATGGGCTGACAGGTTATTGCTGATGAGAACAGAAAAGGGGATTACTTCTGGCTTTGAGGTCTGAGCAAACTTGTGAAAAGTGAAGAAATAAGAAATACCCTGGGATGAAAAATTTGGAGGGGGAAATCAGAGCTACATTTAGGACATATTAAGTTTCAGATACATATTGAACATCCAGGTAGAAATGTCAAGTTGGTCATTGAATATTTGAGTCTGTAGCTTAGGGGAATATGAAATCACAAGACACATTTGACATTTTTAAACTCACAGACGATGCTTAAAGCCTAAGACTCCTGTGGACCAAAACTAACAGAGAAGATCTAGAATCTCAATTCAATTATTTTTCTTTTATCCCCTCCCCCCTTTACCCTACCAACACACAGTATTAGACAACAAAGAGTTGCGTGTCTGAGTGTTATCAATGCCAGTAAAACAGACGTTCTTCTTGTACTCTCAATTTACATTCTGCTACTTATTTGGTCTCTTCCTTTCCCAATTGCCATCCTTTATGTTCCTAGATAATGATATGAGCTTCACCTGATAGAGTGCACCCCACCCCACCCCACCACTATGCACAGCCTCCAACACCACTGCAAACTTAGTTACCAGGAAAACACAGTGCTTTCAGCCCAAGGAAGCAATTTATTAGCTCATACTAATTGCTGCTTAATTCTGTATTTACCCCACCAGCTAAAACAATTAGTACTCCACAAGCCATAATTTTATGCTTTGTTTAGGTTTATCATTTGTAAGTAAATTAACACACTCGTATTTTAAAATAAAGAAATTAAATCCAAGTTAAAAAAAAAACTCCAAATTTTATGCTTCATATATTTAGTCTTAATTTTATTAAAAAGGTGGACATACACACCATATGGTCTCAAGCAAGTCACCAAACCTCTCTGTGCATCAATGTTATGTAAAATAAAGTGAAATTTTACTTTCTTCAGGAGATCATGGTTAGGATCAAATGACATTAATGACGTTCTTTACAAGAAGATAAAAGATACTTTTACAATATATTTTAATAACAGTACCTTCTGACAGAGATTGCCATTTTGCCCTCAATTTAGCTTTTGAGATTTTGTAAATTGTGCCTTCACAATTTTTTTCAGACAGCTAAAACTTTAAAGCTTAAATTTTTATAATCATCCAAAACTGAATGCTTTTATGAGAAGTATAGAATTCAGGATCTCCTAATCACCCACTGGTCTAAGATTAAAAAGTTAAATAAATGACTGAGTATAAAGTTTGTCCAAGCAAAATACAAAACAAAACCAAACAAAAAAACTGTGAGTACCCAAGAGTTAATCTTTACACAGTTTCAGTTTGCATGCCTGAAATGAGCAAAGTACATGTATGGGCTCAAAGTTTAGAACCTGATTACAAATATACATAGAGAGAGAAAGCACATTGCTTTTCATTGATAATGAAAGAAAATCTTATTTAATATAAATACACAGAGCAAGCTTCTTTAAGTATATCATTGAGAAATGACTGACATCACTTTGCTACAACTGTGTATTTTGTATATAGGATATGAATTACTGAGCTTCACATTAAAAAAAAAAAAAAAAAGAATCAATGCATTTGCTCCAATGTTGCTATGTAAATAACACGCCACCCTCCTCAAAGCAAGAAAAGAAAAAAGGAAACCATTCGCTATAAAGCAGAAAAAAACTGTATCGAATTTCTGTTTTTAGGCAAATGTTTCATGAAATGAAAGAGGAAGAAAATCTGCTCAAGAAATAGACATTTTCACTTCTCTAAATAAATATTTAATGTGACTAATAATATAACACAACTAGAGTTACCAGGAAATAGAAGACTTAAAGGTTTTCAAAGATACATTTTCCTCATACGGATTTTGATCTAATCTTACCATTTAAACTCAGGTAACTACAGGATTAACTTTAATTTGTCAAATGTGACCATGCATCATTACATGGGTAAAGATATCTTCATCTAACCCATTTTTAAAGGTGGGGGGGCTCTAGGGAGGTTATGTCATTTTTGTTTATGAAGATAATTTGGAAAAAAAGAAGAAATGAGCAAAAGACAGCTTTAAGGCACTATAAGGCTTGTAGCAGAGAGAATTTTCATTTGGAAAAAGCACCGAGTGTATATTTGTGTACAGAGTGTATATCAGTGCATTCTGCTTACCGGTTAGGATCCAAGGGGGTCCACAGCTCCAGAGCCTCTCAAGGAACCTCTCAAGAATTCCTTGCAAATTTATATGTCAGACTGTAGGTAAGAAATTCAAAGAACTTCTGCTCAGACTCCACCCTGTGGGAAATTTGTGAGTAAACTTTAGTTCCTCCCACCCTATCTAATCTGATTGTAAATCCAGTCCTGTTCAGCTTTTCAAGTGCTAATGTTCAGCTTTTCAGATGCTAGTGGCTCTGCTGAGAGACCCTTCCCCTAAGCAGTTCTGATCTCTAGACTCAAGTAACCACCTCCTTGCCCTCTATGTATTTAGATTTAGATCTTTGGCACGTGATCTGATGAGTTTGCTCTGAAGCTAAATTCCAAAATTTTCATTTCTTCTTTGATTTGGGCACTTGGAGTACACTAAGGACTGGAGAAAAGTTCTTTCCCAGCTCTCCGGGTATTTCTGTTGAATTCTGAGGCGGCACCCCACCATCAAATACATTGTGAATTTTCAGTCTAACAGCAGAGTTTATGACATTTAACAGGTGAACTTTTTGGTTAAAAGTTTAAAATAGACTCAATTCTAGAATATATTTATCGCCTAATATGTGAGTTTTTAAAACTCCTAGGTCATAAATCTAGACAGCTTTCAAGACAATGAAGAAAGACTTAGGGTTTGAATATACAAGTAGAAACTAGCCTGGAAAAATACACTGATGCTAAGTCTTTCTTTAAGCCTATGAACTATTTATTTTTTTACCTTGATTATCTCTTTAAGCTTACTCCTGGGCTTAGAGCATTTGATGAATATCCTTTTAGGTATAAAATCTAAGAGCAAAGACTCTCAGAATTAGGACTAAAGAGCAAGACTCGGCCTGAATGATTGAGTTACTTATTTGCACCTAAGCTTTGTTAAGTACCCACGACATACTAGGTAAAGTATTATTTCATTTGATTATCTTTATCAAGTCCTCACTGTATTACCCTGGACAATTCACTTTACTGTTGCTGAGGCTCCATCCCTATCTATCAAATGGACATAAACGTAGCTTCCTCACAAGATTACTGAGATAATAAAACAATGCATGTAGAACGTCATCATATCATGACACATAGGTCAATAAGTGACACATTATTTTTTAATTAACCAGACAAAAAGTATTGCCCTTCAATCTCCCAGAGAGGGAGATAAAGCACATGATACTTTTAATACAACTGATGGACCAGTGAAAATAAAATATCTTTTATCTTATCAATCCTATCCTTACAATAATCCTACAAAATAAATGGAGTATTCTAATTTTATTAACTTGAAGGAATAAAATTTTAATCCAGTCAGGGGTTTCAAAATTTGTCCTTTTTTCTTTCTTTCTTTTTCTATTTTGCTTATGTCTTATGCTGTAAGAACTTTGGAAGATTTACCAGGTTCTAATGTGTGGGGAGTAAACCAGAGGGTGGGGGTCTGTGTCATTTTGGAAGGACAGTCACACTCCTTTAGTGAGTGACTATAGATACAGATACAGAAATAGAGATTAACACATCAAGTTGTCACTTTCACGCTGCTTCTTCTAAATGTTTCTAATAATACTATCAAAAACCATTCCATCAAAATATTATCTTAAAAACTGTTGCTTACCATTGCCACTTTTAAAGAACTTGCTTGGGTAATGATGAGCATATTAATAATATTCACTTGATCATCACATACTGTATACACATACTGATAGTCAACTCTGTACTCCATAAATGTGTATAAATAAAAATAATACAAAAAATAAATTAAATAAATAAGGAAGGATTTTAAAAAGTTGGAAAAAAATAAAGAACTTGCTTGGAGTTCTAAGCTATAAGTTTTGTAAATTTCTCTCTCTTTAAATTTGTTGCCTTCATTCATTTTTTAAAAAAATATTAAGCATATTCTTTGCACCAGGCACAAGGCAAAATGCCAGGATTATAATGGTGATAATAATATAATAACATGAAGCCCTAGAAATAGAAAGGAATTGTGAGATAGCAAGTCACAGGGGGAGCAATAAAAACAAGACCCAGTGCAGAGCCAGCGTGGAAGGTAAAAGAAAGAAGAGGAGCTCCATTCCTCCTTTTTTGGAAGTAGGAAAAAAAAATATATATATATATATATATATATATTGCCAGGGTAAGTTGTACAAATTCAGAGTCGTCTATTAATTTCCATGTATGTCATTTCGCTTATACCATCATATGTCTCCGAGTGTATGATTTTATCCTCATCAGAGCCTTGCCTATGAATGGAGCTAAATAAATATCTAATGCTTTTATATTAGTCTGTTTCTGTTGCTTATAACAGAAATACTTGGACTGGATGATTTATAAGAAAACAAAATTGCTTACAGTTTCAGAGGCTGAGAAGAACCCATCTGGTGAGGGTTTTGGTGGTGGGCACAGTGTCCCAGGGATCTCACGTGGCAGAAAATAGCAGAGCAGAGAGAGAGAACTTCTCATGAGGTCTCCTTTTAAAGCCCTCCGAACCACGCCCCTGATCACCACTATTAATCCATTTACTATGGCATGGTCCTACAATCTAACCACCTCTTCAAGACCTCACATTTCAATTACCATAATAGGACTTCCCACTCTCTTTACACTGTCACAGTGGGGACTAAGTTCTGGGGGGACATTCAATGAATGGCAGAATTGGTTATTCTTTTTTAAAAAATTCAATTTCTTCCATTAAAATTAATGATTGGGAATATAAGGGAAGCTCTGTTATTCTAAGAGGTAATTCTTAAAACATGAACTTTATCCTTATCCTTCAGGCTGTATTCACTATGTGTAGGCCAGTGCCTCGCACGTAGTAGACTTCAGTGGGTGCTTGCTAGATGATTAACCAAAGTAAATTCAGTGCAGCAAACTCTTTCTGTAAGAATCCAAGGCTGCACTAACCAATCTGACCATGACATTCTAATGTCGGATTTTCAGTAACTAGAAATGAGTGACGAAATTAAAGACAGGGATAGTGCTTCGTGGCCAATTCAGGTCCCACCACTAAGAGTAATCTCTATAATTAAAAGAAAAATCTCAGCCTCGGGGCAAAGTTGGGGAGGACCTAATAAATAGTTGCAGTCTCAAACTTGGGTATATAGGAAATTTCATGATACTCTGTTTTTTAAAGTCAATAAAAACTTTTTAGGAGCTCACTTCTCATTTCTCTGCAGGAGAATTTAGTCTGGGACTTTCCTTCCTTCTTCTTCCAGCAGGGTTGTGGGAAGTTCCCAGATGTTTTCCACAGAGCTAAGTACTCTTCTATTACACAGAAAGCAAAGCAAATTAATATGATTAACATGCTAATAAATCACTAGTTTATATTTAGATGACGTGTTGTCTTTCAGTGAGGTATATTTTCTGGTTATTAGAAAAATTTTCCAGTAATGGGCAGGGACTTTCCTATCCTCTAAATGTAATGTTCACAGTTTTTCAGGGGAAAATACAAAGGCTAGTTACAATCAACTGATATTTTGCCACTTGGTGATTAAAATTCTTTTAGAAACTAAATTTCCTATAACCTATTCACTTTTTTCTGCATCAGATATTCTCCCTTACTACTAAAATGCATGGAGGCATTTCAGGTAGCTTATACCCTGTGCTCTAACAGGGGGGCTTTAGTAGTTCTGTCATGTGTGTTTGCATGTCAGTTTACCCAAATGTCTGATTGTTTACATGGGGAACAGGAATTAATAAAATAATCTTCTTTTTTTCTTCTGTATTCAAATAGTAAGCTGATAAAAGAACCAGAGCTGAGCTATAAAGAGTTTCCAAATAATTTCCAAATAAACAAATGTTTTTAACATTGCTGGTCTTATTTAATGAGTCATTGTAACTGAATACACATGTATTAGTCCATTTCTGTTGCTTATAACAAAATACTTGAAACTGGGTAATCTGTAGAAACATGAAACTTATTGCTTACCATTTCAGAGGCTGGGAAGTCCAAAGTTCAAGGAACACATCTAATGAGGGTTTTTATTGGTGGTGGCTTTACAGCACTGCAGGGGTCTCATATGGCAGAAAATGGTGGAGCAGAGAGAGAGACATGTGTTCTCCTTTTAAATCCCTCAGAACCATGCTCACAACCACCATTAAACCATGAAAGTAATCACCTCTTCAAGGCCCCACCTTTCAATTACCAAAATAGGATTTCCCACCCTCGACAGTTACAGTGGGGATTAAGCTTTGGGGGACATTCAACCTAAGGCAACACAGAACACTGATTAGATAGTACATTGCCATTAAGGATTTTAAAACTTCCATTGGAGATCGAGAGTTTGCTTTCAAATAAAGCATTTTGTAGTAGTTGTTGGTGTTACTACTTGCTTAATAACACAGCTTTGTTCAGCATAATATTGTTACCACTATTATCACTCCCTTGATAACTACAGGTTTCCTGAGGTTCCTGTAAAACAGAAAATGTAGAGTAACTTGAGTCATATTGGCATCATTAACTACATGACATCATTGACATTGCGCTGATTCTTTGCAAAACAGAAACAGGAAATACAAAATCCCCATTTGAAGATAAACCTTTTACACACTAAGGCCCTCCTCCTTTCACCGTAACAACTCACATCTCCTAAATTTTTTTTTTTAATATTAAAAATGATTTTCAAGAGGGGCAGTGAATGGTGAATGTTTGGAGATGTCTCTTTAAGATCCTCTTCCGGCATTTGACTTTTCTTGTGTTTGTCTAGCAAAATAGTTTCTAGTGTCCCTAATAAATGCTGTAAATGTTCCCACACTGTGAATGTGACCAACATCTGTATACCAATTTTGCCAATCATTTGTGACTTCCCATACCTTATAGTACACATCCTCCAAAATATAGCAAATTCCTAAATGTTCTTAATCCCTCGACAGGGATTTTACTAGACTAGAATCCAAAGAATGTTGCAGCAAGTCTCCAGGAGCCAAAAGGAAATGCCTCTAAGGGGTTCTTCTTTAGGAAAGTTCAGAGTATTAGAGAACAATAAGAGCTAGCAAGATCTGGAAAAGAACATAAATAAACTCGAAATTTTAACTTGCATTTATATATGAAAAGAGTG